ACGGAGATGCCCGGGCCCACCAATCCTTCCCCCCCCAACCCACCCAGCACCGACGGTGAGACCCGCACGGCTCCCAGCCGCCGGGCCCACCAATCCTTCTCCCCCACACTGACGGCGAGCCACGCGGGCCCTCCGAGCCTCCCCCCCCAACGGCCAGAGCGTTTTCTGCGCATGCTCAAGGAATGCTTTTACTTTGGGGGGGATGTAAATATCCCCCATATATTTTTTTCAACTTTTTAGATTTTTCTGCACACCTGGGGACTGCTCCAAGTGTACAGGAAAATCTCTCTGCCCCCCAAGTGCCCCCGATGTGTGGGGGCAACTTGGCTATTAGATATATAGATTAGAATTTCAACAGTCCATCCATATGCAAAAGAACCTCCTCAGGAAAGCTCCTCTATTAGCATGTTTTCACAGCCTACAAGATAATGACTCAGCCCTACCCCACCTTCCTGAGTAGATATAAATTACCTGCCTACCAGTTTTCTTCTCACCTTGACACAGAGAGTGCTCCATCTCTCTGTGTCATACCTCTGAGGATGCCAGTCACAGCTGCTGGCGAAACGTCAGGTCCTACAATGCCAAGACCACGGCCACACAACCCGGAAAATCTGCAACAACTAATTTCTTCTTTTTTGTTTTACACACACACACACCCCATCTCTCTTACAGAGACACTCCATTCAGACACACACACCCATTTAGCAAACGTTGTCCACAGACCTTTGGGAGCAGGTGCGCTGGTGCTCCGTGCCCGGGCATCCCAGGAGCCTGGCATGCAGGTGCGGCTGCACTGGAGCAGCCTCCGGGCGGCTGAGGTTCTCAGGGCCATTGGGAGGGAGACCTGCGGAGGCAACGGGTCAGAGGAGAGGAGGCCATTCATTCCCAAGGTGGGCCGGGCCGGGCCAAGCCACCCCCTCCCCGCCGGCCAGCCCGGCTCTGGTCACCACAAAAGAGGCAACCGTGCTTACAACTGAGTGCGTTAGAACAGATTTAGAGACCAGTGGGGCAGTGTTCCCTCTAAGCTGAGTTAGTGTGAGCTAGCTCCCAGTTCTTTAGCCTCTGGCTCACACATTTTTGCCTTGGCTCAGGAAGGAGGGCTCCAGAGCAAACTAATTTATGCAGTAGCCAAATCGCTCGCTCACAACTTTCATGCCAGGAGCTCACAAAGTAGAATTTTTGCTCACAGGACTCCATAGCTTAGAGGGAACATTGCAGTGGGGCACCTTTAAGACCAACAAAGGTTTGTTCAAGGTATGAGCTTTAAGTTAACTCCCTGCCTGAGAGGAGACGAATGCTGAGTCTCGGTTTACCTCCCACAATTAGAAAAGAGGCCTTTTCACGTTTATCCCCTATTTCGACAGATGTATTACCTTGCTGTCCTTCCACCCCCCCTTTAATAAAATCAAAACAACGGTTGGCCTTATAACCTTAGCTTGTTATTTAGTCTCACTCTGAATATCTTAAGGAATCTGCGTCACGTTACATGTTGATTTGCTGTTCAGGCTGTGCGTCTACACGTTTGAAATCTAGTTTCCTTTCCAATTGACAAATCGTGCCTTGCACACAAAAGCTCACACCTTGAATAAACCTTTGTTGGTCTTAAAGGTGCCCCAACAGACTCTAAATTTGTTCTACTGATACAGACCAACGCCGCTGACCCACTGGAACGGAGTGCGTTGTTAGTGCGCGATTGTGCTTTCACACACGGCGAATAATCCACTTCCAATGCACTTTAGCGATTGTTTGCAAGTGGACTTGGGCGTTTCCAGGGGTCATTTCGTAGAAAAAGAGGGGCAGGAGCTCATTAGCACAACTCATTTGCATATGCCACGCCCCCTGACCTCACCGGAAGTGTGTCAGAGGACAACACCCACCGCTCAGGCTCCACCGGACTGTTTTGGATTGCTAGCTATTGGGGGTGGGGGGGAGAACGTGCAGATCTGTCCTCACAGCGGAGGGAGAGCTTGGACCTGAATAAAACTTGGGTCTTAATGGTGCCACTGGACTGTTTCTGATTGCTAGCTGTGGGGGGGGGGAACGCGCAGATCTGTCCTCGCAGAGGAGGGAGAGCTTGTGTCTGAATAAAACCTGGTCTTAAAGGTGCCACTGAGATTGTCTTGGGGGGGGTGGGGCTCGTGAA